GAAGTGCGCTATTCCAATCTTAGAGGCGGTTGGTTTCCAGGAGATCATGTCATTGTTGGCCGTGCCGCTCACGGCGATTGCTGCGTCGTGCAAACCGGAGTTGTCAGTTGAATCGCTGTGGTATAACCGGTAAGTTGTGTCGCTATGGGCTACATTGATTAGTTTTGTGCCACAGTTAGGAAGTCGGATTTCGGACAGATAGAAGATATCTACTTTTCAGTCGTGTAGTAAACTCATTGTGATGCACTGGATTCCTGTGTCTAGCAGTGCCCTAACATTCCAGCAGGCTGTGGATGTTGGATCTGGTGTACAGATGGTCTAGGTTCCCAGGTTGCTCATTTGTCACCCCAGCCACTGGGAGAGCGCAGGGCGCGTCGCTTCCCGGGAACACCGTAGCATGAACGAGACGTACCATTATAAGATGATCCATGAAGAGACTTGGAAATGAAGTACTACTTGACGGCCCCAGCGTCGTTCGGTCTTTGTTCGAGGGTGCACCTCTAACCCTTGCACAACCAGGTGCGACCTGCAGGGTAGCAGATGACCGTCAGAACGGTTCATACGCCTTTCGGATCGCTCAGCGTCAGTCAAGGATCCCACCTATCTGTGAGGTCTGAGGGCCGGTAGCACCCCTCAGAGTTTGTCCTAACCGGAAGAGTAGGCAAGTGACAATATCCTTATTTGGCGATGGACCACATTTGCACACGTCGCGGTGCTGCCAAAAGACACTTATAACGGATATCGGTTGCCAGCCGGAACCCCACCACGTCCTCTAGCACTGCCGCTGATTGTCCGCGACTGATTCAGTGAGGCAGCCTCCACGATTAACCACCAACGTGGCCGTTCTCCCATCCGCGACCTAGAGACGCGCTCGGTAACACTCAACTGTGCTATCCGTAGATAGTCCATTGGCTACGGGCCAATACTTTATGGAAATGATGTATGAAGAAATGCACATAGCAATTAAGTAGGGTGTCACCGGCGTGCTTTTGACCCTGTGGTCTGAGGCCCAAGCCTCGCCACCCAATTTTGTGTCGCCCAATCCTATACCTCACCTGACCCAGCGTGGTCTTATGTGGTTCGCCACCCCTTGTCCCCGGGCTTGGGTTACCGGTTACCACTGAACAGCAGGTTTTTGTAGCCATGGGGTCCACCCCGTCTGCTGTCCACCTACAGGTGTGTAATCGAAAAAGTGAATGTATGGTCTTCCAGGTTAGATTTCAAAAGACTTCACCTGGTTGGTTGAAAACACTGGAACATACGAAACGAAGCGATAGCAGCAGCGTTCTTACTGTCACATGTTATCGCGGTGAAAATAGTGGATAGAACCAATGGTCTTTTTCAAACCACAAACTTCTGACATGATTTCTTAATTTTTATGTATTATTATTATTCACACACGTCTGGATCCTGAATGTGTGCCAAACAAATCATAGTACAATAAACTTTATGAGAAAATGTTCCATGATTGGCTTGTAGGCTGAATACTGCCAGGTTGCCCAGGTCAAGGCAGGTTTTCTTGACGAATCCACAACCGGGGTCTTCGGCTAGCCAAAGCCGTGGTGGTAATTTGTGTGAAAACCGCAATCCATCGGAGGCTGGTGTCCAGTTCATTGGATCATACGCCCTTCGAATGGGGTCAAACGTCTAAGATTCCCAATACACCTCGATACCCAATCGAGCCGGTGACTACTGCCACAACCAGGAATTTGTGTACGGTTCGTACGCCTCCTCTTGGTCAGTTTGGAATCAGGATCTTTTTGCCAACTCCCGTAGGTGAACTACCAGTGGTCCACCAAACCGGTTATAGCCCCGGATATCGGCGTTTCGTCCTCTCACTTTGGTGGGAAAACACCTCTACGAGAAGTTAGTGCGCAGGGCTTTCTCAGCAGAGGCTATTTGAGACGCTTGGTCGTATGGGAGCAGTTAACGAGGTGCAAGAAGAGAGTGATCAGTCGCAACCCTAGACACCCACTCCCGACCATACTGAGGCTTTCGGAGGCTTAAGTTTTATGTGTGCGCGAGCGAATGGCGCTTGCCCTGTGACTTAGAATGGAAAATCACATAGGGCCCCAATCAGACTTTTGTGAGAGGGAACAGAGTGAAGCTGTTTGCCATAATGTGAAATCACGTTACAGTATCGGCTGAACTACTTCAGCTCACACAAGATGTCACAAACAGCAGGATGTTGCAGCGATGCCAACGGTATCCCATGTCAGCCATCGCCAATCGAGTTTTCGTACGTATAATGTAAATCAAAGTAAAACAGTAAGTCCCCATAGACAAAATGGGTACTGTAAAAAGGACAATAGGGAACATTCACATTAGAGCCAGCTTATTGATTTTGTGTGTAAGGAGTGGAAGGCCGTAAGTTGAGAGAAAGGTAAAGCCCCACAACTTCGTAAACCAGTAGAGAACTGCGATATCTGGTTACCGAAATATGATAATGATGACTAGATTTCTATATGCGGGATGAACGTAGTAGTTTCTGGGAAGATAACTGCCGAGATAAGCTTCTAAGAACTAAAACCAAATCAGTAACGATAGAGAAGGAGCAGTATCAACAACTCGACGATGGTCTAATGACATGAGATTGGAGGTTAGGGAAGAATAATCGATCAGCCGAGTGGCTTTTCGTTGGACACGATCTAGAAGGGAAAGCAAAGAAGACGAAGCCCCATCTCACAGCGACTGCAGTGTTCAACAGCAGGTCGAATTTGAGCGTTGGACAGTTGAAGATGAGCTGATTGGAAAGGAGCGTCTGACGGAATGAAAAACAACCTTGCGTGCAACGCGAGAAGCAAACTGAGGCACAAAAGGGACCCAACATCAAGAAGTTATAGGTAATTCAAGAAGAGAAATAGGCTGTGGAACGCAATTGGGTAGAATCAAAGGATGAGTGGGATAGATCGAATGGTGTTTTAGATCAATTGAAAGAAGGTTGTTGAATCGTTGAATGCAACATGGAAAAAGTCACTATGCCCTTACAAAGGGTCGGGAAGGCAGAAAATTAAAGGGAAAGGCAACATACCACGTAAAACAGGAGCCAAATTCGGAGCATATATTTTAAGGACAATCGGTGGAATACCGTTCCGACCGAGTGATTTTCTTGCGCTTAGGGATCGCAATGTTTGGTGAATTTTCTTAGTGCTAGTAAGAATTAGGAAAGAGCTACCAGTGAAATAGGAAGATGGAAGAGTAGAATGATTAGATAGGGTGTAGTTGGCGGCGAATGGAAGGCGAAAATGTTTGCTTTCTCTTATTGTTGATACCAGGAAAACTACCGATAAGGAGGAAGATGGAAGAGCGAATTTGCGAAAAATTACTTTGACTAGGAACGAAATGGTTCGATGGTGGACGGGACCAACTTTTCGGCTTTACAGCGAACGGAACGTTTTTTGGTTCGCTATATGCTTGTTAAGCACCGGTCCCCGGCTTGCACAGAGCGATAGT